AAAAAAAATGGATAGTAATATAACCAAGAAGATTGAAATCTTGGATCAATAGCTGTAATAATAACAACCTTTTAGAAACTTATTCATAAATGAACAATACCATAGAAACTTTTTTTTTTCCCTAGAAAATTAGCATACTATAATAGGCAAACAAGAAATAGGGAAATGAACTGATTGAGAGAAAACAAACAGCTCATAATTCAATCATAAGTACTAAAACATAGACAGAGATATCCAGAAAACAGAAAATAATTAAGAAATAATCATAAGTAACATGCATCTTAGTTGTTAAGAATCATCTCAAGTACACAAATATTTTGATGGACCATTTATGCAGTTATTAGTACATAATAATGAAGTATATAATGGTGGAAATTAAGACTAAAAATAACAAATGAACAAGACTTAAAGGGAACATGAGTTACCTGAAATAATAATGATAGTTTCTACAAAACTGAAGTTTTAATCTCACAAAATCATGCAGCTTCAAATATTTGCCTCTTGAAACTTTTTGTTTTCTTTAGTACACCAAAAGAATTCAAAAGTTGAATGAGACACCAAAAGCAAAACGGAAGTTGCAGTGTCACCAGATATATAAAAAAAAAAAGAGAGAAAAAGAAGTTTATGAAAGGAAAGAGTTTGTTAGTTTAAGTCCAGTAAGTAAGAGGAAAAAGGTATTATTAGTAGGAAGGCAAAAAAAGACTAGAAAAAAGACAAGAAAAAATAAGGAGAAGGGAGAAGAGGAGAGGAGATAAGGCAAAAGACAGGGGGGTGATGGTGTTTGTTTAGTGCATAATTAATGAAAGAAACAATGTCTGAAGGTGAAGGCTGAGCTATGCAAAGAAGAAGGTGACAAAAATTGGATAAAGAAGCTTTTCTAAAGGAGAGTTGTAACAACCTTTAAAACCCACATATTCTACTTTGATTTGGATTAAGACCTACGATTTTGGGGAGAATTTTAACTCTTATATATTAAAAAGAACAGTCCGGTGTACAAGCAATTCCATCATCACACAAAATATCGTACGTAAAGGATATAATGGAGATATACTATGCTAAATATTAGTGGTTATTTTTACAATGCGAATTCGTAACCCATAAGTTACATGAAGACAATTTTAACCATTATATATTGGCAAGTATAAAAACAGTCGAGTTAGCAATAAAGATATGATTGGATGAATGAGATCTTTCCATAATAATGAAAGTTATGAGATTCAAAATCTTGTTGCAAGGGATGTTTCCTCCTTTTAAGGGATCATATGTGGCAATTAATCAGACCAATAATCCTAAATACCGGATAATTATAAGATATAACTTTATATCACAAATGAAATTAACTTAGAAAATAAGGCAGATAACTTTTAAATTACACAGATTATGTACAAATTAATTTTCATTATTCATGGATATAAGATATACTTATATCTTTATAATTTACTAATTTATATCAACATATACAGTCATTGATCCCAAAAAATCTCAAAAAGATATGAGAGATATTCTTGTCAAATTGCAAAATTAATCGTAGTAGTAGTTTCACATATCACATAAAAATAAAGCACCAATGTTTTATATGGTCGATACTCGTTTAAGTTTTTTCGACATTATTTTAACGGGTTGAATAGCTATCTTACCATTTACAGAGTGAAATTAATACTTATTATTTTAAAAATATTAAGTAAAATCTTCAAGAGGAAAAAACTTACATTTGTCACATTAATTGTGAGAGTATTTCGTAATAAGCTTTATATTAAGAAATTAACATTTCATTTCTATATATATATATATATATATATATATATATATATATATATATATATATATATATTATTTGTCCATTTTATTGTGTTGCTAGTGGTGGTAGATTTGGTGGGGAATGGGGACCATATATGCAATATATCTAGCTGTGGAGGGTTGACTCAAAGTCAAACCAAATTATTGAGATATGAATACTACTGTTCTGTATTTGTCTGAAATAAATTTGACACCATACAATTTTTTGATATGATTGCTTTCACTTCATAAACTTTCTAGTACAGAATTTCTCGCATTAATTCATTTCACCTTTCGTTTAGTTAGCCAATTGCTAAACATAAAAGAAAGAAAAAAAAAAAAGGAATATAACGAATAATACGATAAAATCAAAACTCTTGCTAATCTTTTTAGAATTTCAGCTGCCTACGCTATTTTTAACAATACGAGCCTCAGCAAAGGACCTAATATTCTAAAACTTTATTCCTTTTCGTTTCTTTTTTCTTTTTTCAGAATTTACTTTCCAGATACATTGTTATTTATAACTATTTAGACTTCAAAACGACTCTTTTTGTCCTATTTATATCTTATTCCTTTTTCGTTGATATATGCTTTGGCCTAAATAGACTTTGCTTATCTTCTGCGGGCGGAGGGAGAGTTTTAGCTACGGGTTCGGACAAACTCAGTAGTTTTTTGCTTAGATACTATATTTGTATTAGAAAATTTATTAAATATGTATAAATATTTAATTGCGAACCCAGTAACTAACGAGTTATGCGTTCGATTGCAAATTCAGAACTCATACACTTTAAATCTTGGCTCCTCCTCTGCTTATCTTCCTTTCACACCTGGGAAATGGGTTCTTCTAGTTGTAGACTATATATATATATATATATATTCTTACCTTTTCTAGATCTCGTCACAAAGCTTCTCTTCCTCTTCTCCAACTTCCGGTTTTATTACTTGGAAAGAAACATAATCAAATGAGGAAAAAAACAAGGATAAAAATATTTAAATTGAAGTCATTTATTCTATTACCTCTTACTAGTATGCTCGACGCTTTGTTCAAACAAGACGTGAGTAATATTGACATTAGTATATGTCTTTAATTAGCTTCAAACTTGGATTTTTGTCCATTTTCAAAATTTGAGATTTTTTTTTTGAAAATAGGTATTATATAACAACGTAGTCCCATTGACTCTGGCCTAAGCTTGCTTTCTTATACATTCAATATTTTTTCCTTGTTTTATCGATATAAGATTCACCTAATAAGGGTTCACTATGACCCAATATGTTGCATGCAAAATGACTTAAATACGTTAACTGTGAAAACTTAGTATTTTACAAAAACAGCTGATCGAATTTATTGTTTATTTTTTCTAGCAAGTATATATAAATTATACAAGATTTTATATATATATTATACATATATTATATATCCGCTCGCTATTTTAAGTTTAAGTGCTTGGGTAGGCGGCTATTTAAGTTAATTCTTATATCTATCTATGCATAGTTTTAAAACACATCCAATATCTCTCCGTATTTTGTTAATGTAGAATTTGCCTAGACGGTTGCAGAAATTATATAATCGTATATTAGCTAATGTTTTAACCTTGTTTTGTTTATCGTTAATAATATCAAAATCCTCGAGCTGGTTTTAGTTTGTTGTCCACATTATAATCAATACTTTACAAGGATTTCTATTTGTTTCTTGTTATTTCCCAGATCTACGCTAGTCTAATTATATATTGAAGCTAATACTTTCTTCTGTTTCATAAATATAAATATACACAGAGTTTACTCAAGTTTGGAAGTATTTATTTGGAAATATAGCATTGATTAACAAAAGGTTAGTTGACTCCCCGACTTTAATTTGTTTACTGTATAAGCTTATTCAGTGTAGTTTTCATACAACTACAAACTCAACTGACTGATTTTGACGCAAAGTTGTTTAACAAATGTAATTAAAAACTATATAAGAAACTGATTAAAATTATGAACGCTCTGATGATGTTACACTAACTAAATGAGAGTTTATGATAAAAATAGAATAAAGTAAGTAGACCGTAAGTTAAAGTCTTATTAATTAGTAGGCTATTAATCCAACATTAGAGTAATTAATTTGCAGTTACAAAAATAATTATTAAGTTTTGTTACTAATTATTATAGAGTTGAGTTGCATGGCTTTGATTGGCCGTTTGACCTTCTTAGTGAAGATGCTCTTATTTGGTTCAGTATCTCTGTCGTTGAAACTGATCCTTTCTGGTTTTCAACCTTTATTTTCAATAATAATAATAATAATAAAAGGAAGAATATAAATAAAATGGAGGGAGTGATCGATCGAAGCCTATGATCTTTATCACTTACTTTTTATTTTTTATTTTATTCTATGCATATAAATAAAAACGTTTACTTTGTATAACTAATTGGCAGTAGTTTAATTTCTTTTGTTTATTTCTAACAAATTCAGTCAAAGATATTAGCTTAACTAACTTGATTAGACAAATCGTGTCGTATAAATATGTTTAAAGGACGTAGGGCAAGACGAAAAGAAGATGAAGAAATAAGTAGGGAAGAATTTTATTAATGCAATTCTCCGTTTCAGCAAAAAAAAAGGGAAGGATTGGGCATATTAGTTGGAGAGCAAATTAAAAGTATATGGTTGTTTAACAAAACCTTATAATAACATGGATATATACCAATCTAGATTGAGTTTTGTTGGTTCAATTAAATTCATTACTTCCAGTTCTAACTATATATATGTACATGAAAAAGAGCATGACTACATATAGGGGTGTATGAAGAAAACCGATAAATCGCACCAAACCGATAATTTGAGTCAAACCAGGGAAAAAATCGATGTGGTTTGGTTTGATTTGGTTTGGTATTGAAAAAAGAAACCCGACTATAATTGGTTTAGTTTTGTTTTAACTAGACAAAGTCAAACTGAAACCAAACCAACTCGACAAGATATTTATATAATTTTTATTATTTTATGCATATAAATATTTATAGTTGTGATGACCCGAAAGGTCATCTTGTGTTTTAGAACTCAATTATGCGCATTTAAGCCTTAAAAATCTCATTTTTACCCTCCTCGATTTGCGTGCGCAGTCTGGGCGTGTTTCCGGAAAGCTTTTATGTTAAAATCTAATTAAAAAAATAAAAAATTTTGCCTAAAAACTTTATTTGAGTTGACTTCGGTCAATATTTTTGGTAAACGGACCCGGATTCGTGTTTTGACGATCCCGGTGTGTCCGTATCGTAATTTGAGACTTGGGCGTACGCCCGGAATCGAAATCGGAAGTCCCTAGCCCGAGATATCGGACTTTGTCGAAAGTTAAAAGGCTTAATGAAATGGAGATGTTTGACCAAGGTTTGAATTTTTGGATATCGGGTCCGTATTTTAGTTCCGGAACCCGGTATACGCCCAATACCCTATTTATGACTTGTCTGTGAAATTTGGTGAGAAACGGAGTTGGTTTGACGTGATTCGGACGTCCGGTTGAGAAAATAGAAATTTTAAAGTGTTCTTGAGAATTTCATTTGATTTGGTGCTAAATTTATAGTTCTAGGTGTTATTTTGGCGATTTGATCGCGCGAGCAAGTTCGTATGATGTTTTAAGATTCGTGTGCATGTTTGGTTTGGAGCCCCGAGGGCTCGGGTGAGTTTTGGATAGGCTACGGAGCGAAATTCGGACTTAGAGATGTTGCTGTTGTGTCCAGTTCTGGTGTTGGCCTCTGATCTCGCATTTGCAAGATTAGAGTTCGCATTTGCGAGCATGACGAATTCGCATTTGCGAGCTACTCATCGCAAATGCGAAGAGTAGCTAGGCCAGGGAGTCCTCGCAATTGTGAGAAAAACTTCGCATTCGCAAAGTGAGTCAGAGGAGGGCATGGTCCCAAATGCGATCATTTCTGTCGCAATCACGAAGTGGGATGTTCGCATTTGCGAAGGCAACAGAAGTGTGAAGAGCTTCGCATTTGCGATT